GTTACTTTTACAGAAATACAGAAAATATATTCATTAATTTATTAATGTTTTTATATATTTCAGGTTTAAACCTTTTATATTTCCACTAAAGTGAAAGGATTCAGTCCTAAAGAGTCTTTATCAATAATCAAATACTGTTTCTTTCCTTGTTCACTTTGACCTGTTAGCCCTGTAGCTAACTGTAGCTAACTGTGTGTTTCCAGGAGCAGAGGTGGACGGTGGAGCTTGAGAGAGAAAAACTAAGACAACAAGAGGACCGACTGAAGGTAAACAATATTTTATTATTAATAAACAGATACAGATTTATAATCACTGATTGATTATTGAAGAAATCTTTAATGAGCAGTTGTAATAAAGAACATTGGAACGTCTGTAGTGAACACAGAGTTAACGCCTACAGCGTGCACAGACTCACTGAGAGGAGCTTTAATGTCTGTACTGTCTGAGTGAAAGCTCACTGACTGTTTGTCGTCTGCTGTCGAGGCTCGTCTGCGCTGCACTTTGTGGACTCGGCAGGAGACTCTGGAGGAGAGACGACTGGAGACTGAGGACAGTTTACTGGGACTGAAACACAGAGTGGACCAGCTGGACTCACTGCTCACACACTGATGTACAGTGTGTTTACAGGTGGAGCACAAACAACCCTGAACTACATTCACTGGCTGTTCTGGAGCTTTACTGGTGATATACAACAGTCTGACACTAGAGGTCGCACTACAGCTCCAGCGTCTCAGAACAAAGCAGCCCACCAGACTCCATTCACAAAACCACTGATTTAAGTTACAGATCATCGTAACTTCATTAAAGTGAACAGAAACAGAATAACGTCTGACTGTAGCTTTACAGCTGCTGAAAACACTGTGATACAGTTTCTACTCTCACTCTCAACTTTATTCAACAGCCAATCAGAGTACCAGCTCTACCTATAATCAATATATGGATCTATTGGTTGCAGCTGATCACTAAACGCTGGTTTTATGAGTCAGAAACTCCCACATGACCTGAATGCAGCATCAGTGTTGGGCAGTAACTGATTACAGTAGTAATATTACTTTCTCCAGTAACTAGTAGTGTAACTGATTACTGTTGTAGCCCCACACTGGTTAGCATTAGCATACGTGGAGCATGAATCATGTGCGTCTGTGAACGCAGCATCTGTGAGAAACTCGTGGTGCCTTCAGGTAAACATGTAAAACAGATTTTACAACTTTGTTCTATTTGATTTTTATCTTTAAATAAACTTTGTGATAAAACTGTTTCACTCATTCATAATTATATTCCAGCAGCCAATCAGCCCTCAGTTCTGTCTGACAGGAAGCCGCTCCGTTACAGTGCAGGTGTTCCAGGTGTGCAGCATCACCTCTCTGTCGTCATGGTTACTGTTGCTAGGCAACTGAGCACCTCAGAGCTGCAGCAGCTGCTGTCGACCTGCAGGAGGAGAGGCTGACAGACAGACAGACAGTTAGTGACAGTTTAACTGCGGTCCAGGTGAGACTGTCTGCAGGTAAACTCACCTGGAGGTTCCCGTGTGAGACGGCGTCCAGCAGTTTGATGCAGAGAGACGTCTCACTCATCAGCGTCTGTCTGACAGAGTCACCGAGCTCAGAGTCTGCAGAGACAGACAGCAGCAAGTTCAACAGGCAACGCAGCAACTCGTCAACACGGCACGCCATCCTGAGAGAGAGGGGGGTAGGGGGGGAGGGGGAGAGAGAGAGGGGGAAAGAGACAGGTGAAACCACCTGTAGTTCCTGTGTTTGTCCTCCAGAGGTCAGAGTTGAAACATTAAAGAATCAGATCAACAATAAAACAGACACCACTGTGTGTGTGTGTGTGTGTGTGTGTGTTAAATGTACAAAGGTTTCTAACAGTATTCTGCCCTCTAAAGGCAAACTACAGTCAGTGTGCATTCAGCCTGTAGTTACTGCACCACCTATATCTATCTATAAAGCAAGAAATCTGTGTCTGTCTGTCTGTCTGTCTGTCTGTCTGTCTGTCTGTCTGTGTGTGTGTGTGTGTGTGTGTGGCTCAAATATCTCTGCAGATCAGGATCAGACTGACCTGAGAGTTTCAACATGGCTGCTGTGTGGTTTAAGGGTGTGCAACGTCGGCTTTGTTTGGACTCTAATAATAATTTCATAAATTATTTCCAAATTCCACTAGCATTGTCAATTACAGCCACCGTAGCCACGTGCGCACCAGAGCCAATCACTGCAGAGCCCAAACATCCTGGAAAGTGAAAGTAAACTGATGTCTTGGTCCGGAGGGCTGGCGGTCGCGGTGATTTTTGATCACAAACACTTTTTCGCCGGTGACAGACGTGTGTTTTTCAGGCAGAAATGTGACGAAGAGTTGGTAGGACAGGCGGGAGGACAGACAGGAGGACAGACAGGAGGACAGACAGGAGGACAGACGCTTCTCCACGTACAGCTGTGGTATTTTTTTTCCTCCTGTAAGTTTCCAAAGACAGTTACAGTTACTACGTTACTGTTGTTTGGTCCTG